CTCCGTCATGCCCCTCCCTTTCCCTCATGCCCCAGCCGTCGCCGCCGCTCCCCGCGCCCCCTGCACCACCGCCGCCACGCCATCGCACCTTGCAAAGAAGATTGGGGCTGCGGGCGACGAGGCCGATGCCGGTCGGGACGAGCGGCGGCCGCGGCAACGAACGCTGCTGCTCCTCCTCTTCCTCGAACTCCTAGATGCGGTCACGGATCCGTGGTCGCCTTCTTCCGCGAACAGTTGTGGTGCTCGCTGTCGGCGTCAGACTCCCAAGGTTCGATCCGCCGCTCATCCTTCCATTCTCCCTGTCGGTCTGTGTGTGATCGATGTTCTGTTTGTTTGGTTCCAAACAGCAAGCGAGGATGACCACGACGCGGAGGAGGACGAGGACCCGAGCTCGATTCCGACCATGACGCACCGCACAAGGTCCCTGCTTCCTTCCTGACGGCAATGGATCCCTTCCTTGCAGGTAACACTTCCCCTCTCCCTCCCACTGACTTGCTAATCTAATTTAGCCACAGGCTGCTACAAATCACATTGCTTGCTGCATCTTACTTTGTTGCCTTGGATTTAGTTGCCTGGGTTGCTGACGAGATCCATCTGCCCGGCTGGAGCCTGTTATTCTCTTGATGGAAGTCAGCCCAATTGTAGGTACGGACTACAAAATACACAGCCCCATGGCTATGTATATGTACACATCCCATTACTGCCAGTGTTGTTCAAATTTAAACTGTTGTCATAAACTGTTGTCGACGGCTCTGAAGTATTTGGATTGAGGATTATGGAGATAATTTTGGTTGAGAACTATAGAAATACGCTACAACACTTGGGGTAGGATTCAACGTATCATATGGAATGGTAGATGTTAATTATTCAAGGTGGATGGTCCACTAAAATTATTGCTTAAATGACTCATTATTGGTCAGTTGCATGCTTTGTTAGTCGATTGGGTATATTTAAGTCACTGGATTTGTTCTATATTTTCTAGCAGTTTTTTTACTTGCAAAAACTAAATGGCAAATAAAATTCCAATTAGATATCTATGAAGTGTTCTAAAAAAGGCTATGAACTGATTGTGTGGACTTGGTATGGGAGAAGGCCTGTTGATGGTTGTCTACATTTATATATTAGTATCTTATCTATTATATTTTAATTTGTATCCATGGGTTTCTCCAAATATTTGTATGTACTGGGAGTGGAGGTTTCCATGACTATTGAGCATTGATCGGTTAGAACAGCTGATGAAGAATGGAGCCCTTTGGTTGGAATTTCTTATATAACTTGCGGCGTCGTAGATTCAATAGAATTTGTTAAGGAAAATGAATCGAATAGAAATGACTTTTGCTAAGAGAACAGGGTATACTTTTTGTGATGCATGGCGGGTTGTCCTTTTAGCTTCTTAGTCATTGTGTATGGATGGTTTGGTTAATGCCGGTTTTAATCGCTGACATGATCTTGGAGGTTTGGTTCAATTAAAAATATCATGTCATGTTACCAGCATAGATGCTATTTTCTTATAACTACCCCTTTCTTCCTGTCACAGTAGCACCATTCCAGATTGTGCATTAATAATGAAAACCTATCTATGATCTGTTGGTCTGATCCATTTATTCTTTTTTTATTTATGTGATGACTTTTCTGATTACAGGAAGCTGAAGGTGTTACCATTCATGGACATGGTGTCGTGGTTCTAAGTCTGACAGTAGAATGCGGGGTAGGTATGGAGAGGCAAGATCTAGCTATGGAGTAGTTGTACACACGAGTGTTTAACGAGTTCAGGCCCTTCTCTGAGGAAGTAATAACCCTACGTCTTGGAGCCCGGAGGCGGTCGACTGGTTTATGTGTATATGAGTTACAGAGGTGCGAACCCTTTACATTGAGGAGGGGGGTGGCTTATATAGAGTTCGCCAGACCCCTCCGACCCTCAGTTATGTAGGGTTTAAAGTACATTAAGATAGGGGGTTACTGGTAACGCCCTCATAAAGTGTCATGAAGACTATTAAAGCTACTTAATGACAGACCGTTGCGTGCTGAGTGACTTTAGGTCTCCTGGCCGTCGAGTGGTTAGCTTCATGGTCGAGTGGCTATCTCCATCGTCGAGTGTCCTTGAGTTCGTCGAGTGAAGTCCCTCTTGGTCGACTGGAAGGTAGCTTCTTGTAAGGATGTCCTTGGGTAGGGTATCCTAGATAGGTTCATGACCCTACCCCAGGTACATGACTTCATCATTAGCCCCCCAATGGATCGAGGTTCGAGTGAGGAAGGAGTCGATGATTTTTTCCGACCTATTTCCCGTGATGTGATTATGTTGTATTCTGGATCAGCGATTTTTCCTTTTGGCGTTAGCATCAACTTTTCTTTTAGTCGCCTTGATCCATTCCTTTCTTCTGTCGAGTGAACTTTTGAACTTTAGTGAACTTCCGAGCGACGGATCGCAGGAAAGATATCGTCTGACAGATTGATCTGCCGTTAGCGGATTTTGTGGGATCCAAATTTTGGGAAGCGCTCGAAGCGGGGCGGACCGCGGTACTCGGATGGGATAAGGCGTGGACGCCTCGATTTCCGCGCCGCCTTTTTCGCCACGTATCACGCGTGCGCGACTGTTTCGGATGTGACAGGAGCGCCCGGGCCTACTTGTCATCCACTCGGAAGTGTCCTTATATAAAGCGCCGGGCGATGGTTTTTGAACAGTGCCTTCTCATTCTCCTCTCTGCTCTCTTTGCTTCTGCCCGCTGTGCCTGCTCTCGCCTCCGCCTATCCACTCCTCGCGTGCTTCACCGGCGACAATGGTGAAGGAGAAGACGGCGGCCTTCGAGCGCGCGAAGAAGGCGACGGCGACTGGGAAAGCGAAGGGGAGACCATCTAGTCAGGGCGGATCTTCGTCAAGGTCCCGCCTACCAAAAGGTTGGGTCCAAGGGGATTGGATCCGCTCGACCATCACCGAGACAGATCTCAATGACCTGGCCAACGAGGGTCTGATCCCCCATGGGTCAGCAAGGCTTCCGGGGACCGAGTGTCAACCGCAGCCGCATGAGGGTGAGTGCGTTCTCCTAGCCACTCATGTAGACCGTGGATTTTCTCTGTCGCCGAGTGTTTTCTTCCGAGGGTTTCTGAATTTCTTTGGGGCACAACTCCACCATTTCACTCCCAACTCCATCGCCTATCTTGCTGCTTTTGTGTTCATGTGCGAGAACTACCTGGGTTATCGACCACACTGGGGTCTCTTTAAGCACATATTCACCTGTCGCTCACAGACGGTGAAAAAGGCGAGTCCGGATGATGAGAGGACTAAGGTTATCCAGATGTGCGGGGGTCTTGGGATTCAGATGAGGAATAAGAGTACTTTCCCGGCCATGATCCTTCCTGAGTCGGTCAGAAGGTGGCAGTCGACTTGGTTCTACTGCCAAGACGAGTCGACGCCGGGGCAGTCGACTGGTCTCCCTCCGTTCTCCATGGACCGAGCGGACAAACCCTCTTCTCTGAAGGTACTCCTTGAGGACAAACCTCAGGTAAAAATGTTGATGGAGCGTGTAGTTCAGCTCGTTCGGGATGGAGTGACGGGTATGGATCTTCTGGAGGTCTTCCTTATACGGCGCATCCAACCACTTCAGTACCGAGGCCACCCGATGTGGCTGTACTGTGGCACCGAAGACACCAGTCGGGTCCATCCAGAAGCGGTTGACGACGCCACACCGGAGAGGTGGATGGCCGCAATCACAGGGAATAAGGACAACCCTCGAGGGGCTAGGAGGATCCCACCACTCGACTGCACCTACACACCGGACACGGTATGGCTATTTGTCTCTAATTGTAATCTTGCTTTACCCATTCCGCTCCACTGCAAATTGGTCGATTGACCTTTGTCTTGTTCTGTTGTCTGTCAAGCCACCACTGAGGTGTACTCGATGCCCAATGGGGCGCAAGCGCCGACTGAGGAGGAGGAAGGAAGTGGGGGCGAAAGCCCGGAGGAGTGG